CAGTGCCTTTTTAACTATATATCCGGGGGGCGCCCCCCCAGGGAAAGAATTTGCCCCCCCCCCCAGTAAAGCCATTTCTGCCCCCGAAGTGCGAAGCAGAATTGCTCGTGATTGCTGTCAGAATTGCAGTTGATTTACTTGATAATGAGATTATGCCCTTCCATAGCCCCCTCCACAGCCATCTTGTGTGTAATTCATATTGTTCTTCACCGAGTATTTCATAATAGCGATAGATTTCATGCAAACAATCCGATAAAATGCGGTTCCAAGAAGAATAGATTTAGTTTAGATTTTTAACTGTTAAATACATGTATGCATCATAGCATGAATATTTCTTCTCAGATTTATTCTGTATCGTATGAAAAAGCAACGCAATTTTGAGAATGCGGAAATGGTGTCTCATAGAACCTAAAATGTTTTAAATGCAACGTTGATATCTGATTAAAATCACATTGGGATCCCCCCCCCCCAGCATCACAGAGAGGAAATAAGGTGACACTGACCCCTCCTCCTATTTTTCAAGGTGACTTTTCTTATTTATTTAATTCCGAGTACAAATGTCTGGAAAAATTCATGTCTTCGATGTACCTTATAATCTTCGGAACTCTTCGGAATTTCACTCCCAAAATGGTTGAAATCGCAATTCAGGGACCCTAGATTTCAAAATTTTCCCGGGGGTGCATGCTCCCGGACCCTCCAAGACGGTCTCACGCCTTCGGCGTGAGGTTCGCCCCCCACCCCCAAAAAAAAAATTAAGGTCTGGCTACGCCACTGGTTATAGCTGTACGATTATAGCTACAAAGAGTTGAAGTTATCGTTTATATAGGTGAAGTTAATAAATTAAAATTTTACAAAATCTCTGTTCAGACTCGCGCGTTCGCCAAACCTCGACGGCTCATATTTTTCGTTCTGCCTTTTTTTTCATGTTTTGCCCCCCCAGTGAAAATTCCTTAAAAAAGGCACTGATTCAACTCTGAGTAAACGAGCGAAATATTTTCAATTGAGAAAAGTGCACAAATCCGGCTGCCAGTAAGATTCAAAATATCACTCTAGAAAGACGATGTCTTTTAATAATTTAAGTTTCACCATCGATCATTTCGGAATTACGGCGAAATGCCGGCAGACAATTGCATGAGAACGAGGCGTCGTGCAAAGTTGTTATGTTTCTGTATTTGACACGAACCCTCGACTTGATCTTATTGTTTTTCACAACTAGAGTAATCTCGTAATAAACTGTTGTTGAACAATCAGTTTGTTTTGAATGAAAATCAAATGTAATCTTTAAAGGTGATCTACAGTCCGATCTGCACATGTGCACAAATGAGCCCACTTTTTATGATACAAACAGTTTAACTATGTTTTAAGTCTTTGAAAAGCCTGATTGCATGTTGTTTCTTGATCATTTATTATACTCTAGAAGCTTGAAAATATAAATAGTTGTCGAATAAAGCTCAATATTTTGGACACAAAAATGTAAACAAAGGCTTTGTTTACATACGGACTGTAGATCACCTTTAATATCAATCGAAAATGTTTCTAGAGCTTTAATTTTATGTAATTTATAAACAACGAGAAATGTTTTTTTATTCATAATATTACTTATAATATTATAATATTTTTATAACATTATATTATTATGTACTATTTAAAACACGAGCAGGAGTGCTTTAGAAAGTAAGAAGAAAGTATTATTGCACGCTGTGGTTATCAAGCCCCGGCGCGGTCCATCGTTTGCTAAAAAGCGCGCGAAAATTCCATTGTTTTAAAAGCGTAAACAAAATGGCTTTGCTCTCTCTCTCTAACTTTTAAATATATAATAAAACAATATTGAATTCGGTTTTCGTATGATATCGAGAATTATCAAGGCCTCGATTTGCGTTATCCATCTCAGTCTTCGGCTTCGGCAAAAAACTCAAACCACGGCCTTGATATTAAACTCTGGATATCGTACTCAACCTCATTCAATAAAAATATTATGAAAAATCATATCAGCATTGTGTTTGACTCCGTTTAATATTATCTCAGAGCCCCTTATTTAATAATAATCGTAATAATAATCGTTTTATTGACAACCAATTTTGCAGTTAAAACTGAATTACACTGGTTTTACATCTGTAAGATACTAAACTAAGAATATAATAATAATAGTTTAATTTATTGATCCATCTTTAGTGTAAAAATACAATGGATTTAGAGTAAAAATCTAAGTAGTAGTCTAGTAGTTATATGTACACAGTGGCGTAGCTAGCGGTCATGCTGGTCATGCTGAGCATGACCAAAAATTTCCCCAAAATAAAGAATTTTTTTCCGCTTAAATTCAAATTCAAATCTTTTAGCTTTTCGAAATTTTCACAAGTACTTTAGACAAGATTTCGCTATTTTATGTCATTTTCGGCAAAATATTGCTCATTTGCATAGGTTACCTAGCAACAAACATGGCGAGTTCGTGTGAATTTCGTGTGTACAGTATGTTCCACGCATTTCGCGGTCTAGTCATGCCCTTTGAAATCAGCATGACCAAGTAAATATATTTTATAGTAGAAATACTGGCAATCTGATTGGATAATGGCAACTGCGCATGCTCAAACGCGCTGTTTCGCAACATCTAGTCATGCTCATTTTCCAGAGCATGACTTGAGCCTTTGTCCTTTGATACAGTCTTTCTGTTCGAGATAATTCACGCTCGAATTAGTCGAATACTCCGTTCAGGTGTCAACTGATCAAGGTAAGTGAATTCGCATTGTATTAATTTGCATTTTAATGGCTTCAGGAAGCGTGACGGCTTCCACAGAGGCAGATATTATATTAAGTGGTATGCTGAAGAAACCTTAAATTCTCTGCTCGTCAATCAGGCGAGCAAAATATAATTGTAACACAACGGCCAATGCCGAATTTACAATCGATCACTGGAGATAGAAGCTCTCAGGAGAGTTGATACACAAAGAAAGATTGGCTTTGTGGTAGTTTTACTGTATAACCAAGAAGGCAATGTTTTGCTGGCCATATTAAATATGCACCTATCAATGTTTAATAAGCGCCAGAGGTGGGGGGGGGGTGTTAGAGCATATGTGGGGTACTGGGGCATTTGATTCTTTGAGCAAATTTTCAATCAAATGCCCCACCGTCGGGCAATAAATATTGGTCAAATACTTCACCATTTTGCAATAAATTGCAATAAATACTATATTAATAAAAGTCATTTCGTTCACATTGCCCTGACTCAGAGGCCCACCAAGGGGTTATGACCGACGGGGTGGCGACAGACTATGTACAAAAGAGTGACAAACGACAGCTTCTGACTGGGAAAAAGCGAGAAATTGTGATTTGTGTTATGGGTCAAAAGTGACAGTGACATTTATTGCAATAAAACAGACGACAAAGCAGCTACAAAATGAGTGACAAGCAACCTGGGTTACACCCTTGATAGGGCCTCAACTCTGGCCCAAAATGCTAATCAAAATCCCCAGGGTGGGGATGCAATTGATTATAAAATACCCCACATATGCCCGACCCCCCTCAGAGGCTTACCATTGATAGGTGCATTATTATAATCCCTTGAAATTATATCAGGGAATATTAGATTTATAGGGGAAATATCTACATGAAAGTGGTGACCTCAAAATAAAATTTAATATTTCTTTTACCATAATTACCAATATCAGAGTTATACGCCTGTATTGTAAAAGCTCACTCACACTCAATGAGTGGAGGTTTAATCTGAGCTTACCTTGAGTGTCAATGTTGTTTTTGAATAGGTGGAGGGTGAGTAGTCACATAGTAAGGTTCGACACTAACTCCCCAGCTTTGCCAAAACAGCAATGGCACTCAAGAGAAGCTCAGATCGAACCTCCACTCATTGAGTGTGAGTGAGCTCTTAGCTAGAATACAGGCAATAGGGAAAATATCCACTCAAATGTGGTGAGTCCATGATATAACTCTTCCTCGAGAGATAACCATTTGACTTGAATGTGGTGACCCCAAAATATAACTTCATTTACATGACCAGAGTTATAAGGGAAATATCCACTCAATGCGGTGAGCCCATGATACAACTCTTCCTCGGGAGATATTAAACCACTTGAATGTGGTGACCCCAAAATATAATTTCATATTTTACTATAAGTTTTATTTTTTATTAGATGACCAGATTTATATGGGAAATATCCACTCAAATGTGGTAGCTCATGATATAACTTTTCCTGAGGAGATAACCACTTGACTTGAATATGTGGTCACCCTAAAATTTAATTTCATATCTTGCTTAGATTGCTATGAGGTGTATTAATTTTTTTATTAGACG